CAGTCTTTCACCATTTTTGAGAGACACCAACATGTTCTTATTGTTTATATGCAGATATATTATTGCAGATATGCAGATAATACTTGTACAGATATTGGTATAAAAATATATTAAACAGTTAAACTTTATTTTCTTTGAAAAATCCTCCCTTAGCAGCTATAACAGCTTTTCACACTCTTGGCATTCAGAAAGTTAGTTTCTCCAATCAGTCAGCTCAAATACTCCGCAAGTTTTAGCTTTGGCAAGAGACATGGTAAAGGTTTTCTTCACTAGTTGGATATTTCTTTTTGACCTTTGATTCAGTTCATCCCAGAGCAGTTCAATAGGATTTATTTCAGGTGACTGGGCAGGCCATTCTCATAACATTCATAGAGCACTTTTCTTGACACTCAAAGTGCTTCACATCAGTGTTAATTTAGTTGATGAATAATTTTCGTCAATTACATTTTTCCCCGCTGAAAACGAGACCGTAATGAATAAAAAACTTGTTTTAAATGACAAAAACTATGACGAAAATCTATTGACATTTTCGGCAATGAATAAAAACGAGGCGAAAATGTTAGGGAGGGACTATTTGGCGTTTACACTTGTCTTTTCAATGCGTATGTGGACAACATCTGGATACAGGTTGCATGTTAATGACAAGTGTAAACGCAGGACAGCTGATTTGGTGGTTGCCTAGCAACATAAAAAACGGAGCGCACTGCTCTTTTTTAAAAGTCACCAAAAAAAAAAAAGCAGTGCGGTGCGCCTCGCGTTTTCAGACCTAAAAAATGCGTTCGGTGTGATCAGGGCCCAATGTTGCTAAAGCTACCATTGTCTCTGCTTGTTTTCACTGATGCCATTTCCACGTGCTACCAGAATGATCGTAAATAGGAATGTGGTAACGTTAGTTAAAAATTGCATATGAAAGCAATGTAAAGTCGACCTCTTGAATTTGTCGAGCTCATAATGTGATAGCACGCGAAGGCACCATGAGACCAGCTATGTCGTTATTTTTATCGCGCCGTGCTTCCCGTCTGTGTAATTCATAAATGCGCATTTACTGCACAGTACAATCAGTGATAATTGTCCTGTTTTGCCAGAGCATGAGCTCTTGAAGCTCTTCTGAAAAGGGAGGCGGGAGAACAAGCTAATTTGCATTTAAAGGGACAAACACAAAAACTGTGCGTTTTGGCTCATACCCTAAAAGTGGCAATTTCAACAAGCTATAAAAAATTATCTGTGGGGTATTTTGAGCTAAAACTTCACATACACACTCTGGGGACATCAGAGACTTATTTTACATCTTGTAAAAAGGGGCATAATAGGTCACCTTTAATATAAAGGCATGTTGTGTGACACAGCAGTTAAATCTGTGTCTGTACTGCATGTTAAATCCTTAATATCAAACCTATATAATGAGTTTGGAAATTTTTGAGAATAAATGCGTTGCACTGTAACTAAATCAATCCCAGGACGTGTTTGTGTTCACACAGAAGTCACTCTGGCAATTTTCCGGGACCAACGTGCAATGTGAAAGGGGTTCTAGACTAAAAATAAAATAAATCAGACTAAAATATGACTAAAACTAAATGGCATTTTAGTTCAAAGACTATGACTAAATCAAAATTTGCTGTCAAAATTATCACTGCTTCACATACAGTCGTGGTCAGAATTATTGGCACCCTTGGTAAATGTGATCAAAGAAGGCTGTGAAAATAAATCTGCATTGTTAATCATTTTGATCTTTTAATTAAAAAAAATTCACAGATATCTAACCTTTCATTGAACTAAAACAATTGAAAATGAGGGAAAATCTCATTATGAAATAAATGTTTTTTTTCTCAAATACACGTTGGACACAATTATTGGTACCCATAGAAATGAGAAATAATTATAATAAATAAAATATCTGTAAAGTATATTCCCATTCATATTTACAATTTTGAACATACCAGGGTGATTATGAACATGAAACTATCCAGCTATGGCTTCCTGTTTCACAGGAATATTAATAGGAGGGAAAACAAAGGCCAAATTCCCTTAATCATCCATCACAATGAGAAAAACCAAAGAATATATTTCTGATGTGCAGCAAAAGATAATTGAGCTTCACAAATTAGAAAGTGACTTTAAGAAAAGAGCTAGTTGAGTGGCTAAAGACTCTCCAAGGACCACAGCTGGAGAATTGCAGAAAATAGTTGAGTCTCGGGGTCAGAAAACCTTTAAAAAAAAAAATCAAACAGCACCTACACCACATGATGTTTGGGGGGGCTTCAAGAAAAAAAAAATCAGGATCATATTTACCAAGGGTGCCAATAATTCTGACCACGACTGTATGTAGGGAGCACCATTTGAAAACCTGCTGTATCCCCTTTCATCACCGAACTGTTGCTAATTGTTTCTTTTTGTAATATTGAACAAAATGAAGTCTGGTTGCACTTGTATGTTTGGTGAATCCTTGCATGTGAGAATTGTGTAAATCCTTTCATTTAAAGGCAAAATGCTTTTATTGTGTAATAAGTAGAGATAACTTATTGATTTTGAAAAGTGAAGGCAGTCATTCACACTTAACATTACGTAAAATAAAGTGTTTGTTAGATATTTTTGCATAATTAAGTGATAGAAATGTATGGTTTTCATTGTTTTTATTTCAGAAGTAGATTTGGGGGTTTAATATTACACAAAATAACTATTTTGTTCAGACTACTTCTGTACTATTTTTCTGTAGAGCTGGACATTTTAATAAAGATCAGATGAGTTCAGCTTTGAGAATGAAAACTAACCTGTTTGTTCCTCAGTATCTTCATGTTTGACTCTGAATGCTTCTTCAATCTTCATGTCTTCACTCTCAACTTTAATAAACGCCATCTTTATAACAGTGTCACGATCTCGGATGCTTCACCAGGAGTTGTTCAGTGTTTGGACACTTTGTCCTGTTTAAGATGAGAATAATTAACAGAAAGAAATCCAAAGTAAATCTCCCTAGTTCAGTAGTCAGCACACTTGTGAGGGAGTCAGTCAGAGTGAGAGTTAATGGACTTAAAGGGATAGTTCACCCAAAAATTTAAATTCTGTCATCATTTACTCACCCTCAAGTAGTTTCAAACCTGTATGAATGTCTTTGTTCTGCAGAACACAAAGGAAGATATTCTGAAGAATGTGGGAAACAGAGCAGTTCTGGGGCACCATTGACTTCCATAGTATTTTTTTCTCCTACTATGGAAGTCAATGGTGCCCCAAAAAAGCCTGGTTACAAACTTTCTTCAAAATATCTCCCTTTCTGTTCGGCAGAACAAAAAAATTTATACGGGTTTGGAACTACTTGAGGGTGAGTAAATGATGACAGAATTTTCATTTTTGGGTGAACTATCCCTTTAAATCACCTGATGAGAAAAAAAAAACAACCAAATAAAAGGACACAAAATACAGGGTTCATATTTGTAATACGATTATATCTGGTACTGATTTGTAGATTGTATTACTGTGTGTTTGTTGTTTTGAGCAGCTGGTGTCGGCAGCGTCTTCGAATCACTGAATCATTTTGTGAATCAATTGATTTAATTGACTCGGAGATTCAAAAAGCTCCGTTTCTCCATCACTGCTTGATGATAAACTGATTCAGATACAGACAGCGAAATCAACCTGTTTGTTCCTCAGTATCTTCATGTTTGACTCTGAATGCTTCTTCAATCTTCATGTCTTCACTCTCAACTTTAATAAACGCCATCTTTATAACAGTGTCACGATCTCGGATGCTTCACCAGGAGTTGTTCAGTGTTTGGACACTTTGTCCTGTTTAAGATGAGAATAATTAACAGAAAGAAATCCAAAGTAAATCTCCCTAGTTCAGTAGTCAGCACACTTGTGAGGGAGTCAGAGTGAGAGTTAATGGACTTAAAGGGATAGTTCACCCAAAAATTTAAATTCTGTCATCATTTACTCACCCTCAAGTAGTTTCAAACCTGTATGAATGTCTTTGTTCTGCAGAACACAAAGGAAGATATTCTGAAGAATGTGGGAAACAGAGCAGTTCTGGGGCACCATTGACTTCCATAGTATTTTTTTCTCCTACTATGGAAGTCAATGGTGCCCCAAAAAAGCCTGGTTACAAACTTTCTTCAAAATATCTCCCTTTCTGTTCGGCAGAACAAAGAAATTTATACGGGTTTGGAACTACTTGAGGGTGAGTAAATGATGACAGAATTTTCATTTTTGGGTGAACTATCCCTTTAAATCACCTGATGAGAAAAAAAAAACAACCAAATAAAAGGACACAAAATACAGGGTTCATATTTGTAATACGATTATATCTGGTACTGATTTGTAGATTGTATTACTGTGTGTTTGTTGTTTTGAGCAGCTGGTGTCGGCAGCGTCTTCGAATCACTGAATCATTTTGTGAATCAATTGATTTAATTGACTCGGAGATTCAAAAAGCTCCGTTTCTCCATCACTGCTTGATGATAAACTGATTCAGATACAGACAGCGAAATGAGACGCACCGTTTCTGTTACTCATGCGCTTACAAGCACAAAATACCCTGCATAAATAAAGCATTATAGTGTTACATTCTGTTATAATTAATTTAAAAGGCTTATATACAACTCCCTGAAGTAGTTGTATTGATTTAAACACTTTAAATGATTAAAATCACACACCTTTCTTCAGCCGAATCACAGACGCAGGGGCGCGGCGCAGCCTTATGACGTCACATCACCAGAGCAAAATAAAAGTCTTGTTCGCGAAATCAATTGCAGAGCTTAGCTTAGTATCTTGATCTCCAAATTACAGGACTGGAAAGAACTTGTAAATAAAGTGTTTGTTAGATATTTTTGCGTAATTAAGTGACAGAAATGTATGGTTTTCATTGTTTTTATTTCAGAAGTAGATTTGGGGGTTTAATATTACACAAAATAACTATTTTGTTCAGACTACTTCTGTACTATTTTTCTGTAGAGCTGGACATTTTAATAAGGATCAGATGAGTGAGTTCAGCTTTGAGAATGAAAACCAACCTGTTTGTTCCTCAGTATCTTCATGTTTGACTCTGAATGCTTCTTCAATCTTCATGTCTTCACTCTCAACTTTAATAAACGCCATCTTTATAACAGTGTCACGATCTCGGATGCTTCACCAGGAGTTGTTCAGTGTTTGGACACTTTGTCCTGTTTAAGATGAGAATAATTAACAGAAAGAAATCCAAAGTAAATCTCCCTAGTTCAGTAGTCAGCACACTTGTGAGGGAGTCAGAGTGAGAGTTAATGGACTTAAAGGGATAGTTCACCCAAAAATGAAAATTCTGTCATCATTTACTCACCCTCAAGTAGTTTCAAACCTGTATGAATGTCTTTGTTCTGCAGAACACAAAGGAAGATATTCTGAAGAATGTGGGAAACAGAGCAGTTCTGGGGCACCATTGACTTCCATAGTATTTTTTTCTCCTACTATGGAAGTCAATGGTGCCTCAAAACAGCATGGTTACAAACTTTCTTCAAAATATCTCCCTTTCTGTTCGGCAGAACAAAAAAATTTATACGGGTTTGGAACTACTTGAGGGTGAGTAAATGATGACAGAATTTTCATTTTTGGGTGAACTATCCCTTTAAATCACCTGATGAGAAAAAAAAAACAACCAAATAAAAGGACACAAAATACAGGGTTCATATTTGTAATACGATTATATCTGGTACTGATTTGTAGATTGTATTACTGTGTGTTTGTTGTTTTGAGCAGCTGGTGTCGGCAGCGTCTTCGAATCACTGAATCATTTTGTGAATCAATTGATTTAATTGACTCGGAGATTCAAAAAGCTCCGTTTCTCCATCACTGCTTGATGATAAACTGATTCAGATACAGACAGCGAAATGAGACGCACCGTTTCTGTTACTCATGCGCTTACAAGCACAAAATACCCTGCATAAATAAAGCATTATAGTGTTACATTCTGTTATAATTAATTTAAAAGGCTTATATACAACTCCCTGAAGTAGTTGTATTGATTTAAACACTTTAAATGATTAAAATCACACACCTTTCTTCAGCCGAATCACAGACGCAGGGGCGCGGCGCAGCCTTATGACGTCACATCACCAGAGCAAAATAAAAGTCTTGTTCGCGAAATCAATTGCAGAGCTTAGCTTAGTATCTTGATCTCCAAATTCGGGTTTGGAACTACTTGAGGGTGAGTAAATGATGACAGAATTTTCATTTTTGGGTGAACTATCCCTTTAAATCACCTGATGAGAAAAAAAAAACAACCAAATAAAAGGACACAAAATACAGGGTTCATATTTGTAATACGATTATATCTGGTACTGATTTGTAGATTGTATTACTGTGTGTTTGTTGTTTTGAGCAGCTGGTGTCGGCAGCGTCTTCGAATCACTGAATCATTTTGTGAATCAATTGATTTAATTGACTCGGAGATTCAAAAAGCTCCGTTTCTCCATCACTGCTTGATGATAAACTGATTCAGATACAGACAGCGAAATGAGACGCACCGTTTCTGTTACTCATGCGCTTTACAAGCACAAAATACCCTTCATAAATAAAGCATTATAGTGTTACATTCTGTTATAATTCATTTAAAAGGCTTATATACAACTCCCTGAAGTAGTTGTATTGATTTAAACACTTTAAATGATTAAAATCACACACCTTTCTTCAGCCGAATCACAGACGCAGGGGCGCGGCGCAGCCTTATGACGTCACATCACCAGAGCAAAATAAAAGTCTTGTTCGCGAAATCAATTGCAGAGCTTAGCTTAGTATCTTGATCTCCAAATTACAGGACTGGAAAGAACTTGTGAATATTTCAAACTCAGAGATTTTGTGGAACAAAATTCAATTTGTGGCTGCAGAGAGATTTGACCATTTAATTTATTAACTGAAACTGAATCCTTATGACAATGTATTCATCTTATTCCATCTCAGTTTCTCCACAGAACATAAAGGCAATTAATCAAATTGCAGCTTTACTTGGTTAAAGTGAATTTCATTAAAGGACTGTGACTGTAAAGGATCACACTGATGGTGGATTTTGACTGTCTGAATGGTCAAACCTTTAGTTAAAATTATTTCTTCTAAATGTTAACAGATTATCTATTATAAATTCTACATCAAGTAAAAAAAAAAAAAAAAAGTACCACAATAAATAAGTCTACAATAAAACGTGATAAATTCTTCTGGAAAAAGTGGTCAGTAGTTTAAAAAGATTTTATGTTTGTGCTGTTGCAAGATTATGTTTTCTCCTCCTTTCATCAGTCTTTTTAGTTTATGTGCCTTTTTAGATAATCGACTTTATCCATAGCATTTTAAAGTGGCAATTTCCATCAGCCCATCAGCTTCGCGATAGGAATGGCTCGCGCAAATCGGAGCACACTTTTCAGGCGCTCTGGTGAACACGCGCCACGCACAATTAAAAGAACTGCAGTTTATTGTGCTGATAACTGCTCTGTTCAGTTTGTAGAACTTAAACAGTACTGCTGCAGTAAACCATCCACTAGCTGACGCAAAGCTTGCACCCAACAATGCTCCTGAAGCACGAGGTGAAAACGGGGTTTTCCATAATACCTGGGAAAAAGTGAAATATACGGTGCAATACACAACATGAGCAACAGGCACCAAAACAGCACATCATTTCATCACAGGTTCAATCATGGTTAGTAGAAAACTGTTAGATATTTCAGAAAGCCATCCCTTTTACAAATCAGACATACATTATTTTTTCGTCCGTCCCTTTTTGTAATTCTAAGTTCTAAGTGGTTCCCCTACATCTGGAATTAATAAGCACTTTATCACATTAACAGGCCAGTTTAAATACACCCAATGCAATGTAATTGTATTGATCACTGAAGCACATATTAGGAGGTTGTTGGAGACCGATTTAGATCAGACTGGAGAAGCATTCAAATGCAGGGTGTATCCAGACACAAAATGGATAAACATTAATGCCAAAATGGGGCCCAGTGTGAGATTGAGGATCCATTATATTGTGCAAAGTTATTAGATAAAGAATCATAAATGTAAAGATAAATAAACATCAAAGCCTGGTGTCAGAATCAGAATCAGAAAGAGCTTTATTGCCAAGTATGTTTGCACAGACAAGGAATTTGTTATAGTGTCACAAGCTTCCAGTACACGGAGACAACAACAACACACAGATAATAAAAATAAGATGTGAATAAAATACACATGCATAAATATAAACCACAAAAAAATAATAAATTGTATGAACAGGTTGTGCTATAGATAAAATAGTAATAGAATAAAGTTGTAGGGATGTACTAGGATTTAGGGTGATAAGTATAAGGTTATTGCACATACTTTAATTGCAAAATGGGAGAACATTAACTGTTCATGAGGTAGATTGCCTGGGAAAAAAGAAACTGTTCTTGTGCCTGGCTGTCCTGGTATTTGCGGCTCTGAAGCGCCGGCCAGATGGCAAAAGTTCTAAAAGGAGATGGCTTGGATGTGATAGATCCAGAGTGATTTTCTGAGCCCTTTTCCTCACTCTGGATGTATACAGTTCTTGGAGGGTAGACAGGGGGGCACCAATAATCCTTTCAGCAGTCCGAACCATTCTCTGTAGTCTTCTGATGTCTGATTTTGTAGCTGAACCAAACCAGACAGTTATTGAAGTGCACAGAACAGACTCGATGACGGCTGAGTAGAACTGCTTCAGCAGCTCCTGTGGCAGGTTGAATTTCCTCAG